GTTTTAAGGACATTATCGGACATGCTCTATGCTAGCCATTCTGAAGCAGCCAGGGGGGGGATTCTAAATGAGCCAAAAAGCAGAGACAGGAGCAATTGTCAAACTTTTGGTGTCAATCATTCGATTTCATCCTGGACACTACAGAAAATGGGCTTAAAGTGTAAAAAACCGAACTTCTCCTTTAAGAAATTCATGAAAAACACTCACAGATGGAAAGAAACACTTTTTTTGTTACAACATAACCTTAAATTATTAATGCTGATATATTTACATTTTTTTTTAGTTAGCTTTTTAACGTTTTCGCTCAGCTTTTTACTTTTTTCCAAACTTGTTACCTTTTTCAACTTAATTTGCAGTAGATATATCATTCAAGGGCTCATCTAATTGGTCAACAGCAAAAAAAAACATGTATAGCCACGTAGCTGTAAATTTGTTGAGTGGCTGATATCCATTTATAAGGGCTTTGCAAGTGATTGAAAAAGGTAACTTGCCCTATAAAGCAGGGGTCTTCAACATTTTCCAGGCCAAGGGCCCCCAAACTGATGGCGAGATGAAGCGGGGACCCCCTAATATATGTATGTATGAAATTGTGCTACATCAAACTGGTCCTATAGTCACTCTATTACAGATGGAGTAATGTAACTAAAATAATTCTTCCCTAGGATTATTAGAGTATTTCTGATTCTGATTCCTGGTTGATGGGACAGGTGTTGTAAATGAAACGGTGCGCAGCTTAAAAGAGCTCCTGTGTGTCGCTGAATGACTGAAAGACATCTTCTGCTTCCATTTATCTGTTTACTACAGTGTGTTGAATTCATGTTAATGTGGATTTAAATACATTTCAATTAGTGGAAAAAATTGCAGGGGGGAATATAAAAAAAGTCTAATCGACCAAAACTTTCATGACCCCCATGCAGTACCTCTGTGGACCCCCTATTGAAGACCTCCGCTATAAAGGGCAATTTGAAAGATTTGTAATTTAAAAATGTATTTTCAAATCCTATAAATTTTCAGTTGCATTTTCTTTACTTTTACTTTTTACTCTCTCCATTTACCTTTTCTGTGGCTCTTCTGGTTCCCAAGCACACGGAGAACCAAGTTGCACCCCAGATGTAACCAGCTCTCTCATTGGTTAGAATTCCACACTTGGTTAAAAAAAATGACAAATAAGGAATATGAAAGAGGAAAAAACGTACCTTTTCCAATCTAACATGGAACATGCTTTCTTAGCAGAGTCACAGATGCTGATTAATTCAGTTTACAAATAAACACAGAATAAATAACCAAAATATAACACAATTCTCAAATACTTAAAGGTTTTCTGAGATATTAATGAAATTTAAATTTACAAATAATCCAGAAATCTACAATTAACAATAGCATAAATATGGAAACAACGCCTGCCCTCTGGTATCAATACAATGACAAATTCATGTTGTACCCGGATAAATGGTTTGAGTACCAATACTTTATAGAATATCAATAGTTTTGACAACAATACGTAAAGAAGGCAGGTAACAAAAGCGACTTCTGCTTTTTTAACCATGTTACACACCAGCCATGGGGGGCGGAGCTACAACATATCTGTCCTAAAGCAATACTCCAGAAAAGTCCACCATGTTTAATTTACCCTTTAAATTGCTCTTCTTTGTTTAAATGGCTGTAAATCTAAACGTCTTTGTGATAAAACAAAATCAACAGCTTGTTTCAGAAGTTAAAGACTGAACTTTCAAAGGATTTTAGAACAAAATATTTGGACCATGTTTGATCTACTTCAATAAGAGAAGGTAAAGGTGCACATCCCCCACTTAGGGGGGAAAAGGAAACTATTATGGTATATTCTATAAAAAAAAAAAAATCTGTTGGAGAGATTTTTATTTTGCTTTTTTAACTGACTTTAAATAAAGCCTTAAATTTTATCTATCCCCACAATCTTATGTAAAACTTATTTATTTGACACATAGTTGATTAGTTTGCTGATGCAACAGATCCATAATCATCCCACCTGGTTTCTTTCTTGTAACATGTCCATATAATTTCTTAGCAGAAAAAACAAAAACAACAGCAAAGCACTAAAATGTAAAAACTAAAGTCCCACAAGTACCAGCATCCAGTCCTCACATGCACTTTCTTCAAACCCCTTCTGCTAAAAAACACTTAAATGTTCTCACCGCAATCGTTTCACGAAGTTGAAACAAGCAGTGCTATGGAATGATGCTGCAAGGAGGAACCAGGACGACTTTTCTATAAATATTCCTTCCTCTATGCTAATATCAGGTTTTCCTATTATTTAGGTTTGGGGAGTGAGGAAAAAAATGGATGAAAACTGATTTTCTTGCAGTGGACTCATGTCTGTGTTGATCTGACCACAAAATTTAATCCTAAAAATGCTTACATTTTTCTAATTCTTTGCACTTTATTATCACAATTGTCAAATAATTCCTCGTGGTATTGTTTTCTGAGTTATTGTACAGATTAAATGTTCGATTTTCAACAGTGAAATTACAGCTCTTCTATAATGTGTTTTTTTATTAATATTTTTTGTTTGTTTTTATACTTTAAAGGTATACGACAGATGCCAGTATCTTTGAATTTGGTCTCATAATTGAAATATTTACTTTTTGGGGGTCTGAGGATTGAGAATAATAGTTAAAAGACAAAAGAAAAGAAAAAGAAAAGAAAGAAAACATTAAAAGAAAGCATGTTTAAATGTTAGTAAAAACACAGAATGTTGAAAACTGTAAATCATCTACCAGTCTTATGTTTACATTTGATCGCCATATTTAAATTTTATCACTGCAGCACTTGGAAGAAATGAACAAAATTTCGCTTTCTATACACTCTGTGTACAAACTGACAAT